TGCTGAAGCAGACAAGCTCTTTCGCTCTGTCCTCTTTCCCATCCCCTCTCTCAGCAGTGAATGGAGCACCAGAAGATTTGAGGTCCGTTCCTTCATGCCACTGGACCCCTCCGCTTGCAATCTTCCCTGCTGGCTTCCAATGGGGAAGCCGGCAGATAAGATTACAGATGAGAATCACATGATTGCGGGGTGCATGGCAACCGATCGTAATGCGAGTCAGTTGCCAAGTGCCCAAAATGCAGCCACATGACTGGTTAAACAGTCATTAAGTGAGAACTACCTGTACATTCTCTAATTCTCATGTGTCACTCACTCTGCCTATTTTACTCCACCCCGTATAATCTCCTATACAGTCTGTTTGCATTGTATTACTTGCATCGAGCAAGTAATGCGGAATAATTTGCATGAAAGGTTTCCTATTTATATGTTGCTAGTATTTGCCCTGCTCAACTTGGAGAGCTGGATGAAAGGTCTTGGTAACTGCCAAGGAGGGCTGTATTTGAGAAGCCACACTGCTATAAATCACTTTGGATTCTTGCTTTCCATGAAGAGGAACATTTTTCAAGAAAGATCATGGCAGGCAGGGAGTCGCTAGAAAAGTGGAGCTTGAGCCAAAAATAAAGCTGGCATGTGTGAGCCCTGGATTCTAGGGGAACATTCTTTTTTCTAAACAAAGTGCTACATTCAAGACACAGCAATGTTCTAGAAATAGTGATCTTAGGAATATGGGTTATTACATGCACATACCAGGGGGTAACAACTGGGAAATAGATTTAGTTTTATAGAGTTTTATGGCCGATATGTGTAATGGTTTGTGGGAATATCCTTGAGACACAGGAGGAGGAAGAGCCACAGCCAGGGCAATGGTCACATAAGAGACATCTCAGTCCAGAAAAGGAATGGGGGTGTGGAAAGCATCTTAGAAGGGACCCTCCCTAGTTCCCTGGAAAGTAAAGGCAAGGTGGGAAAGATGTGATTTCAGGTTTGCAAGTTTCTGTTACTGTAACCTTACAATAAAGGTAGTGTTAGTCCTCATGGTATTGGTTTCTTGTCTGGACTACCTCGAAGGGCTGACAATATATTCTTGCCTCCTTTGGTAAGAAAAAAGCCCAATGTGGCCCTAGCACAGTGGTTACCCTTATCAGAAATAGATTTAATTTGTTCAAACCAAACTTCTGAGGATTGGAGTATTATGCCAAGATATTTGAAGGATGAGACTTGGTCTATGAGATTGTTTGTCTTCCTTTAATGTTTGCAGCATCTAAATCTGTTCAAGGAGGCCATAATTTTGGATTTGGAATAGTTTATTGCAAGCCATTCTTTCCTGCAGTAATGATGGCCACATCACTGGGATGGAGAAGCACAGCTAGCTGTCTATCATTTTTTTTTTTTTTGGTGCCTTTGAGTTAGTCTTGACTCCCAGCAACTGTCTGGATAAATCCATGAAGTTTTCTTGGCCGCATCTTTTACAATTAGTTTGGCCTTGCCTTCTTTCTACAGCTGAGAGCACATGACTAACCCAAAGTCACCCATCTGGTTTCATGCCTAGGGCAGGGGTAGAATTTATACTCTTCCCCAGTGTCTTTAACTACTACACCAAACTGGCTCCCATTAATACAGTTTGGGGGGGGGGGGGGAAGTGGTGACCATTTAATTTACACAGATATTGAAAAGTAGAGGCAGAATACAATTGTGTTTCACTCCTTTCTGGATTGAGAGGCCTGCAGAGAAATGGCCACAGCTACGACATCCAACTTGTGTAATGATGTTTTCATGGAGCATCTTAAGTGGACAAAGCTGTTTCTTTAGTCTGCCTTAATGTCCTTTTCTCTGCAATTCTGGACAGAAGTACAGTGGAACCTCGGTTCACGAACTTAATTCGTTCCGCGACTCTGGTCGCGACCCCAAGCAAATTTTCCCATAAGGGTCAATGTAATTAACGTAAATCCGTTCCGGCGTGGAGGACAGGGAGGCGGCTATTG